TTTCACTCTTCATCACCTCATGCGGGGCCTCCCTGGCCAGTCACCCCAGCCCTCAGCCCTTGCTCTTATCCTTCGTTCCCCTCCTTCCTTTGTTTTCTGGGACTCACACACAGCCGGACTGGGAGGGAAGGGGGGATTTCCTCCTCGTTTGTGGCGCCAAGGTCACCCCTGGTGGGGCTTGGGTGGTGCCTGCCATGCCCCTCGCGCCCATGTTCTCGAGAACTTCCCCACCGCCCCTCCCCCAGACTCAGCACCAAGGTGATTCTCCAGGTGATGGGGACGGCACCATGCCCCCTCCATGCTCCTCAAGTAAACACACGGGGACCCCAAGACCTAGGGTTTGACCCTTCCAAACTTCCCACTCTGGCTTTGGCCAAGCTCTGCGGCCGACCAAGTCCTGGCATGCTGGAACGGGGGCGGGGGTGGGGTGGAGAAGGGTCTGGTTCATTTCTGTAGCTCCAATGGCCCAGGGGCAAAGTTCCCTGGGGGTTCGGGAAATAATGATCCACGGCTCTAGTGTCTCCCCAGCATGACACGAAAGAGCAAGATTAAGTGCTGGAGCGATAGGACAGTGGCTGACGCAGGTTCAATCCCGGGCACCCCCAAGCTCCACCAGGAGGGATCCCTGGAGTAAGTCCTGAGCACCCGCTGGTTATTAACGCCCCAGCGCCCTACCCACTGTACTACTGCTCCAAGCCCCCGGGGTCGCCTTTATTTTACTTATTTCGCTTTTTGGGTCACACCCAGTGAAGTTCAGGGTAAAGGTACTCCTGGCTCTGCACTCGGGAATTACTCTTGGAGGTGGAGGATGCCATATGGGATGCCGGAGATCGAACCCAGGTCGGCCACGTGCAAGGCAAACGCCCTGCCCACTGTGCTGTCACTGTGGCCCCCCAGGGTCTCCTTTAAAGGCGGCTGGGCACAGAGGGAGGGGGGGTAATGCAGGGGGGCTCAGCCCCCACCAACTGCTCGGGGCAGCCTGACAAGCCTTCTGGGGTGGAGGTCTTCCAGGACAGGGGCTCCGACAGTACCCCGTAAGGGCAGCGGACCTGGCAGCCTCACATGACTCCTGCAGGCAGGAGGGACCCCCTAAGGGGCGGGGCCAGGTGCGCAGAGTCCCGAGAGGCTCAGGGCGCATGCACGGGCGGTGAACATCGCTCAGCCAGCATCTGCCTAGAAGCCTAAGAGGAAGGCTAAGGGGCCCCAGGCCCTGGAGAGCCCAGTCCCTCAGGGCTCAGTGCCCAGAACCAAGGTGTGTCCCCCCACCCTCTGCTCCTTGGGGAGGCTTCCAACCGTTCATTCACTCCTTTATTACCTTTTATTGTTTTTTTTTTTTTCGCTTTTTGGGTCACACCCAGGGATGCACAGGGGTTACTCCTGGCTCTGCACTCAGGAGTTACTCCTGGCGGTGCTCAGGGGACCCTGTGGGATGCTGGTTGGCCGCATGCAAGGCAAATGCCCTACCCGGTGTGCTATCTCTCCAGCCCCCGCTTTGTTACCTTTTGGACAAACTTCCCTAGTGACTGGGCAGGGGACTCTCGCCCACGGAGTGATCCCTGAGTACTGCAGGGAATGGCCCCCAAAACAAATGGGGTGGGGGGGGACTTGAGCTCAGAGACTGGGGCCACACCTGGCAGTGCTCAGGGCTTACTCCTCGCTCTGGTTCAGGGATCACTCCTGGAGATCAGAAGAGACCCTATAGGGTGTTGGGGTTCAAACCCTGATCCTTTTCTTCTCTTTGCTTTTTTGGTCACACACAGTAGTCTCGGGAGGTACTCCTGGCACAGTGCTCAACAGGCCATGCAATCGGGGAATGGAACCTGGAGAATTCTGCTTGCAAAGTCTGAATTCCTGCCCACAGAGCTCTTTTCCCACTGGCCCAGCCTTTCTTTTGTTGCTTGGTCTATGGTGACCGATCAATGTTCAGGGATTATTCCTGCCTCTGAGCTCAGAGAGGTAACACCTGGTAGCGCTGGGGGAGGAGAAGGGACGGGACCCTGCGGGGAGCTGGGGATAGAATCCAGGTGGCCCCGCATGCAAGCAAGCACCTTCCCCTCTGTCCTATGTCTTTCCATTTTTCAGCACAAATCATAAGGAACTCAGAGAGAAACGGCGCACCCCGAGTTTCTCCCTACTCATTCTTTCTTTGCACAAGGCTGGGGAGCCCTGTGAGAACCCAGGTGGTGGGGGGGGTGGTGGAGGAGTGGGGTCCTGAGGGAGCCTCACCCTTTGAGCCCAACACTTTAACAAGGCTTGTTTCATGAAGGCTCGTTCTGGCCGTCACGGAGAATTTAACCATTTGTTCCATCCCATGTGACAGACACTTTAGGTCTTAATTCCCTAACACCTGCCCCGGAAATTCTAGGGGCAAATGCTTGGTGGCTCTGAGTTTGGCTTTCTTCATCTGGAAATCGGTTTCTGGTACTTACACTCTTTTGTCTATCCATTCACACTTGTTCAAGTACCAGCCCTATGGGGGACACCAGTGGCCCATCTGGTACCTGCATGCATGTGGCAGCGAAAACCAACTCAAGAGTTTGGGGACCGGGGAGGGCGCTTGCCTTGTACGTGGCTGACCTGGGTTCGATCCCCGGTGTCTTATAGGGCCCTCTGGCCCCTGACCCCAGAAGTGATTCCTGAGCGCAAGAGCCAGGAGTAAACATCTGAGCATCACTTGGTGTGGCCCCCAAACAAACAAACAGAGTTCGGGGCTTAAGCCACAGCCCAGAGGGGAGGGCTGTCTTGCCTTACATGTGGTGGACCTGGGTTCCTTCTCTGGAACTCCATTGGGTCCTTGAGCATGGCCAGGAGTGATCCCTGAGTGCAGAGTCAGGAATAAGTCCTGAGCATTGCTAGGCGTGGCCCCCAAACAACAACAAAAAGCAAGGTGCAGACAGTGCCTGGTTTGTGTAGAAGTTCGAAAGAACCAGTTCCGACCAGGCTGTAGAAGGCCAGCAATCTCCGGACACCCCCCCACACCCCCCCCAACAACCAGCCTCCCTGCCCCAGAGGAAAGGACATACAATAGTTCCGCAGTCATCACCCAGTTCTGGAAACTACGTGCTAATAGGGGCGGGGGACAGTGGTGCCCCCCACCTCCAGGACTCTGTCATCTATTTTGCTTTTGCTTTTTGGGCCACACCCGGCAGTGTTCAGGGCTTATTCTGGCTCTGTGCTCAGGGAATTGCTCCTGGCGTGGCATTGGGGCAGCCTATAGTGGTGGGTGTTGGGGATCGAACCCAGGTTGGGCCGTGTGCAAGGCCTTCACCACTGTACTCACTCTCAGACCCCAGGAGCCTGTATCCCTTCTGAATGGGAAAAAAGAATGAAAAAAAAAAAAAAAAGGAAAGCTCACTGCTACTGACCCTTGGTGGTGGTAGTGGGGGGCTGTCTCTTCCCCTCCCCAACTTCCCCTGTTGGTTACCGCCACTGGGGTGGGGGATGGCAGAGTTGAGAAGGAAGCTGTGTCCCAGCCAGAGGAAGGTGAAGACTCCCCCACTAAGGGGTGAGCCTTGGTCAAGGGGCTTCCAAATCAGCCCACGCTGAGCCAGAAAGGAGGGGTCGGGGCCTGGACAGAGCCCATATCTTTCTGGGCTCCCACGATCCACAAGCCCAGTTCTCAGCCCAGAGTGGGGTGCTAACTGGTGGGGTGTGGGGGGGAAGGGAAAGAGGGGGGAATCTGCAAGCTGGTGTGAAGGGGGCCCCTCTGACCCCACAGGGGGGGCTCTCAGGGCAGGCTTTCCCAGCATGGCACACACCCCACTCTCCTCTCCGTTCCCCCCCCCCAGTCCCATGTGCCATCGTGGGAAGCGGACTCCAAAGCCATGCCTTCCAGCTGGCACCCGCCTCCCGGCAAGCCCCGCAGCTGCTGCAGTTGCCCGCAGCGCCCTGCCACGCCTCGGCCTCCACAGGATGGGCACAGGGGACCCCGTCGAGCTGCCCGCAGGAGGCCGGGCCAGACAGTGGACCAACTCACAACTCCGGGCAGTGCCAGCTTGGAGCACACCAGCCTAGCCCTCCGCCCCCTCCCCCCCAGCTCTGGACGCACACATGCACCTCCTGGCGCGTGCTCCCCTTACACTTTCCAAACAATAACTATACATATATATATATATATTTTTTTTTTTTAAAGGAACCTCTCTGGCTTGGACGTGGCCAGCAGGACGTTTGCAAGCATCCTCCCTAACTGCTCCTGCTCCGACGCAAACCCCAGGATCTCGAAGATGGTGGGGGATCGGTCCTGCGGGGATGATCGGGGGCGGGTGTGGAATAGAGGAGAGAAAGGGCAGGCTGCTGGGCGGGGTGGTCAGCCAGAAATGCGGGGCGCACAGACCGGCTAGGCAGCGGCAGGAGGAGGAGGAGGAGGAGGAGGAGGAGGAGGAGGAGGAGGAGGAGGAAGAGGAGGAGGAGGAGGAGGAGGGGGAGGTCCTCCTTCCAGGCCCTCCCCCCCCAAGACACAGGCTGGGGACCCAGATGCATGAGGGGGCAGCGGCTGCAGAGAACTAAGGGGAACTGGGTGGAGCCTCTCCCGGGGGGGATGGGGGGTAGAGGAGCCAGAGGCTGCGGGCTGCGGAGCCCCGGCACCTGGAGAGGGGGCCGGGAGGTAGCTGGGTGGGTGGGTGGGTGGATGGATGGGTGGGAGAGGGAAGCAGGTGAGCCCCAGAAGGAGGTGAGAGGCAGGGAGCGGAGCCTGCGCGCGCTCCCCATCCAGCCGGGGGCGGCGGGGAGCGAGCTGCAACCTGGGCTCGGGGCCACAGGGCAGGCCGGGTTTTTCTGGGGGGGCAGTGGGGGACAGATCCCACTGCCCGCTCCCGCCTCGGCCGGGGTCCCGGAGCCCAGGGTGACGTGCACAGCACGGTCCAGCTGCTAGGCGGGGCATCACAGTCCAGCAAACCCCCCATACCACACACACACACACACACACACACACACACACACACACACACACACGGACGCACACACGTCAGCCCCGCTCCACCCGGGCTCGCGCGCCTACCTACCTGCGCAGGGCCGAGCGCCAGCTTGGGCTCATCCTCCTCCCGGGGACCGTCGATCTCGGGCTCCGCCGGCGTCTCCGGGGGCCCCGCAGCGGCTCCCGTTTCCAGGCTCGGCGGCGGCGGCGGCGGCGGCGGCGGCGGTGGCGGCGGCGGCTCGGGCGCTGGGGGCTTGTGGGGACCCGCGGCCCGCGCCCGCTCGCGTCGGCCCGCGCCACCGCCCGGCCTGCTCCGCCTCCGAGTCATGCTGCTGCTGCTGCTGCTGCTGCTCGCGCCGCTCGCTCGCTGCTCCGCGCCGCCGCCGCCGTCGCCGCCGCCGTCGCCGCCGCCGCCGCCGCCGCCACCGCCACCGCCGCTCCCCTCGCAGGACAACAGCCAATATGGCGGCGCCCGGTTCCCCCCTCCGTCGCTGCCAGCAGGTCAGGGGGCACGCGCGGTCTGCGCCGTCGCACTCGGCGGCTGTGGCCGCGGGCGCCATCTTGAGGACGGGCATTGCCCGGCGTTCCGTGGGAGAAAAGACGCGGCTGGGGAGACGCCCACCTGCTCGCGGAGGCGGAGGGGAGCGCCACACGCCCCTGCTCCCGGGCGCTGTCTCCTGGCTGGCTATCAGTGACAAGAATAGTTTCATTTCCGTCGCGCTACTGTCCTTTCCCCCAGCTTTACCTGCCTGCCTGACTTTTCTCGCTGTCCCACAGGCACGAACCTTCTCCTTTCGCTGGGGGTAAAATCGAGGCTTGCAAAAAAAAAAAAAAGCTAGTCGGGAGCTTGCCTGCCTACCCGGGTTTGGCTCTGATCGCCGGCATCTCGTGTGGCTCCACTGAGCACCGGCTGGAGTCGTTCTGAGTGCAGAGCCAGGTGTGGCTGAGCATCACCAAATAATACTAATTATTATTATTAATCGAAATAATATTATTATTAATATTAATAATAATCGTAGCATTGCACTGTAGCACTGTCCTCCCGTTGTTCATCGATTTGCTCTAGCAGGCACCAGTAACGGCTCCATTGCAAGACTTGTTTTTACTGTTTTTGGCATATCGGATATGCCATGCGGAGCTTGCCAGGCTCTTCCATGCGGGCAGGATCTTCGCTTGCCGGCTCTCCAAGAGGGATTGAACCTGGGTTGTCTGTGTGCAAGGCAAACACCCTACCCGCTGTGCTATCGCTCCAGCCCAATAATAATAATAATAATAATAATAATAATAATAATAACATTAATAATAGCACTGTCCTCCCGTTGTTCATCAATTTGCTCCAGCGGGCCCAGTAACGGCTCCATTGTGAGACTTTGTTGTTACTGGTTTTGGCATATCGAATACATCACGGGTAGCTTGCCAGGCTTTGCCATGCGGACAGGATACTCTCCATAGCTTGCTGGGCTCTTGGTGAGGGGCAGAGGAATCGAACTCAGGTGGGCCAAGTCGGCCTTGTGCAAGGCAAACTCCCTATCCGCTGTGCTATCGCTCAATAATAATAATAATAATAATAATAAATAAAGCAAAGGTGCCATGGTGGTTCAACATTATCCAGTTAGATTATCGTACTGGTGGGTCAAGCTGAAAGACATGAATCTTGGTCTCTATTTGCAATATACAAGTTAATCTGGCATCATGTTGGTGCTGGGGACTGTGTACGTGAAGCCAGCATCTCTAGTCTTACCCCAGTCTCGCCTGGATCTATTGTCTAGGTCAGTGGTTTTTTTTTTTTTGTTTTGTTTTTTACCTTTTGGGTCACACCCAGCAATGCACAGGGGTTACTCCTGGCTCTGCACTCAGGAATTACCCCTGGAAGTGCTCAGGGGACCTTATGGGATGCTGGGAATCAAACCCGGGTCGGCCGCATGCAAGGCAAATGCCCTACCCGCTGTGCTATTGCTCCAGCCCCTCCTGGCTCTGTTCTTAGGGATCACTTCTGGCAGATCCTATAGGATGCCAGAGATCAAATCTGGGTCCCCGGAGCAGAACGAAAGGCAAGTGCCCTGCCTGCTGTGCTGTCTCTCCTGGTAGGACTGAGACTTGCTTTTCAAGGTCTTGCCCAGAGAGCACAGCCCCGCCCAGAGGTAAAAGGCACTGACTAAGGGCTGTCACTGTCTCACATTGTTCATCAATTTTCTAAAGCGGGCCCAGTAACGTCTCCATTGTGAAACTTTGTTGTTACTGTGTTTGGCATATCGAATATGTCACAGATAGCTTGCCATGCTTTGCTGTGTGGGCGAGATACTCTTGATAGCTTGCCGGGCTCTCCGAAAGGGGCGGAGGAATCGAATTCAGGTTGACCATGTTGACTGCATGCTAGGCAAACAGGCTGTAATGACAAGAAAGAGCCCTAAAAAAATAAAAAAAAATTTAAAAAGAAAGGAAGAAGTGAGCTCAGAGCTCTTAGTTACCAAAACTACAAAAACAAAAACAAAAACAAAAAACAAAACCAAAACTAACACTTGTGGTCTCTGCCTTTGGGCTAAGATGAAGGGCAGTAACTGGTGGGCTCCATGCCAGGCGATCACCCTCTCTGCTGTCCTATTGCTCTTGCCCCTATTCTAACTACTTGTAAGTAGCTCTGTGAGTACCTTCATATTATGATGCCACATTCTACAAAGCTGAGCCTGCCTCAAATCTTTCCCTATTAAACACCAATTCCCCCCAACACCTTTGGAGCTGGAGCGATAGCATAGCTGTAGGGCGTTTGCTTTGCACACAGCCGGCCTGGCCGAGCCGGGTTCGATTCCTCTGCCCCTTTCAGAGAGCCTGGCAAGCTACTGAGAGTATCTGGCCTGCAAATCGATGAACAAATCGATGAACAACGGGAGGACAGTGCTACAGTGCTTGCTTTTTGGGTCACACCCGGCGATGCACAGGGTTACTCCTGGCTCATGCACTGAGGAATTACTCCTGGCGATGCTCGGAGGACCAATAGGATGCTGGGAATCGAACCCAGGTTGGCCGTGTGCAAGGCAAACGCCCTACCCGCTGTGCTGTCGCTCTAGCCCCATACATTTTGTTTTCATAAAGTAGTTCACAGTAGTTCATTACAGATAATATTCAAACACCCACCCCACCAGCAAGCATCTTCCCACCACAATAAGAGGGAAGTGTGTGAAGGTTGTATTTTATTCTGGAGCCATTTGATCATTTGATATCCTGTTACTCATCGATTTGCTTGAGCGGGCGCCAGTAATGTCTCCATTCATCCTGTTGCGTGCTAGCATAGCCCAATGGCATCTGCTCATTCTAGGAACATGAAGAGCCTCAAACCGATCATTCAGGGTCTTGACAAAGAAGTCTGACCATCTCGTAGGTCAGCCTATGATTCTTCTATTCTGGAAGCTTGGTGTTATAATCTCTGGATCCTGGCCGTTGTTGGGGTTACACGGCAGTTGGTGGGTGTAACTGTCTAGCTACTGGAAGGCCCAGTCCCGAAACGTGCAGGCTTGGAGATCTCAGCTCCGGGTCCCGCACACCTGGGTTCCTCTGCCGGTTCCTTTATGTGTGAGGCTCATCCAAGCCTGTGGAGCCATTTAGGCCCATATATAAGAGAATACAAACAAGTATGTTAAAACCAAACAAATGTGTGCTACTTTAGGTACATCAGTGGGCTAGAGTATAAGAGGTCACCCAGCCACGAATAAGGCCGTGTGCTCCAGGAAATTCTGCATCGCTCTCTTCTGGAAGTTTTATTTTAGTTTCTGGATCTTGGCCATTGATGAGATTACGTGGCAGCCAGGGGCAGTTTGTGGGTGTGACTGCCAAGCTCTTGGAAAACTGGGGAGTTGGGGGGAGGAGGCCCAGTCCTGAACCAAGCAGGTTTGGGATTCTGCTTGGGGCGGGGAGGGAAACTCAACCCACTCCATTCCGAGGTATCCCAGTGAAGACAGCCTTGGATGGACCAGGAGATTCTGCCGGAAAATTTCTTCTTGTTTTGTTTTTGAACCACACTTGGTGGTGCTCAGGGTTTACACCTGGCTCTGTGTTCAGGGATCACTCCTGATGGATTGAGGGACCCCTATGAGATGCTGGGGATCAAATTCAGATCAGCTATGTGCAAGAAAAGCGCCCTGCCCAAAGTAATATCTCTCTGCACCCCTGACAATCACTCTTTGGCCTGGGGCATGCAAAGCAGGTGCCTTAAGGCCTAGGTACTCTCTCTCCAGTTTTTAGTACTCAGAAGTTACTCCCTACTTTCTCAGGAATCATTCTTGGTGTTGCTGAAGTAGGGGGACTCTATGTGCTACTAGGGTTTTTGGGTGTGTGTGTGTGTGTGTGTGTGTGTGTGTTTGTGTGTGTGTGTGTTTTGGGTACCACCCAGCAGTGCTTAGGGCTGACTCCTGGCTCTGCTCTCAGGGATCACTCCTGGAGACCTGGTCTCCCTTCAGGGCAACCCTATGGGGTGCTGGGGATCAGCCGTGTGCAAGATCTTACCTGCTGTGCTATCACTTCAGCCTGTTTTTAATTTTGGGGGGTTTTGGGGCCACATCCAGCAATGCTCCAGGCTAACTCCTGGCTCTGCACTCAGGAATCACTTCCCACAGGGCTCAGGGGACCATATATGGTCCCGGAGATTGAACCCAGGTTATCCACATGCCAAAATAAGCTCCTCACCCTGTGTACTATCACTCCAGTCTACTCTCCTTCCGCTTTTATTTGTTTGTTATTGTGCTATTTAGCCATTCCCAGGAAGTTGCAATCAAGCGGGCCAGACAGTTTAAAGTCCAGGTCTTAAAGTGTGTGGTTGCTCATTGCTCAGCTCTGCAGTGCTCAGAGCGTACTCCTGGCTCTGTGCTCACAGGTCACACTTGGCAGGGCTCAGGGGACCACACATGGTACCGGGGATTGAACAGGTACCTGCTGTGTGCAAGGCAAGTGCCCAACCTCTATTCTCTCTCTCTCTTTCTCTGGTTCCAAACTCAGAGATTCTTGTTCCAGCTGTGTGCCTCCCAAGTCTACCCACAGCCAGCCGCCCTGATCTTTGTTTGGTTTCTTTTGGGGATACACCCCGCATTGCTAAGGATTTACTCCCTAGGAACACAGCTCAGGGGTTGCTCCCAGGTGCGCTCCGGAAAGCATGTGGTTCCAGGGACGGAACCCTTTCTGCCCTCTTCCAGGCTCTTCTGTTCCCCCCTCCTTTGTTGGGTTTGTTTGGGGGTCACATCTGGCAGTGCTCAGGGCTTACTCCTGGCTCTGTGCTCAGGGATCACTCCTGGCAGGGCTCAGGGACCCCATGGGGTGCCGGGGATTGAACCCAGGTCATCCACGTGCAAGTCAAGCTCCTTCCCCGCTGTGTTATCGCTCCAACCCCACTTCTTCCATTTTTGTTTTTGTTTTTGTGATGGCTCAGGACTTATCTCCTGGAACTGTGCTCAGGGATCACTCCTGGTGGTGCTCAGGAGACCATATAGGAGGCCAGAGCCATCGTACAGTGGGTAGGGTATTTGCCTTGCTTGTGGCTGACCCAGGTTCCATCCCTGGCATCCCATATGGTCTCCCAAGCAGCGCCAAGAGTAATTCCTGTGTGCTGAGTCAGCATAACCATCCCAGAGCATTGCTGGGTGTGGCCCAAAAATCAAAAAAGAAGAAAAAGAAACAAGGAGGACTTCTGAATTTCCTGAGATTGAAGCTGGGTCAGCCAAGGGCCCTACTTGCTGTACTATCCTTCCAGCCCTGTTTTGTTTTTTTTTGGAGCCACACCTGGCTGGTGCTCCGGGATCACTCTTGGCTCACTCGGGGGACCATGAAAATGGGTCAACCATGTGTGTGAGGCCAGTACCTTACTTAGCTCTCTAGCCCATCTTCTCTCCCTTGTTTTTTTTTGTTTTGTTTTGTTTTTTGGGCCACACTCGGCAATGCACAGGGGTTACTCCTGGCTTTGCGCTCAGGAAGTACCCTGGCAGTGCTCAGGGGACCATATGGGATGCTGGGAATCAAACTAGGGTTGGCTGCATGCAAGGCAAAGGCCTTACCCGCTGTGCTATTGCTCCAGCTCCCCCCTTTTTTTGGGTGGTGGTGTTTCTTTTTCTTTTTGGGTCACACCTGGCGATGCACAGGGGTTACTCCTGGCTCTGCACTCAGGAATTATCCCTGGTGGTACTCAGGGGGGCCATATGGGATGCTGGGAATCGAACCAGGGTTGGCCGCGTGCAAAGTAGATGCCCTACAGCCCTGGTGGTGGTTATTTTTGTGATGGTTTTGTTTGTTTTTGTTTTTAGGCCATACCTGTCTGTGCTCAAGGATCACTCCTGGCGGGGCTCAGGGGACCAAATGGGGTGCTGGGACTTGAACCACGGTCCTGCCGCATGCAAAGCAAGCGCCCTCCCCACTGTGCTATGGCTCTGGCACCCCAGTGTGACACACACAAGAGGACTGAACAGTGGTTTTGGACGCGCAATGAAGTTACAACAGGAAGTTTTCAGTTATGATCAATATTCACGCTCATGTCCACCACCTTGGGGTGCTTCTTCTATTCCGTTTCACCAGGACATTGACATTGAGGGGACCCTCCCCACACCCCCCCCCCCCCATCTTGCTGACCTACTACTCTTCACAGACTCCCACCTACTCAAATGTCACCAGCTGGAAATGCACCGTGGCCCTGGGCGGGTTGAAAAACCAGCTCCAAGAGGCCCTCTGAGTCCCTGCAGGGTGGGGAAAGTCTGGAGATCAACCCAGGCCAGGGCATTTCCCTTTTTTCCCCGTCAGCAGAAAGGGTGGGAGTCGGGGGGCAATGTTTCTTTCTAGTTTCTGGGCTTCATCTATCTATACCAGCTTCTTTTTTTTGCGTCTGTGGGGGGGAACAGGGGGAGAGATGCGGACACAGCCGACAGTGCTCGGTACTCCAGGTTCTGCACTCCGGACCTGGCTGTGCTCCCTCGGGGGGACCCTATGGGATGCCGGGAATCAAACCTCGGGTCGGCTGCGTGCCAGGCAAGCGCGCTCCCCGCTGTCCTACGGCTCCGGGAGCCCCTAGACCAGCTTCTTGGCTTTAAAAAACCCCTTGAGATGCTGCATCTGCCAGACGCCGATGGCCACGAGGATGAGGGTCTGCAGCACGGACCACCCCAGCACCCGTTGGTTGGTACTCTCGCTGGTCTGCCGGAAGCGCTCCTCTCGCCACTGCGGGGAGAGAGGAAGGACAGGGAGGGGGTGAGCAGCAGGACCTGAATGGACTTGCAGGCCAGGGGCGGGGGCTGGGAAGAGGGTGGAAGAGCCTTTCCCGGGGGTTCGGCGCGCCCCCTGCCGGCTGAGTGGGCGCTCACCCTCTGGTACTCCTGCTCCTTCCGGATCTGCTCCATCTGCTCCACCAGCTGCCGCAGGCGCAGATGCAACTGGCTAAGCGTGTCCTTATCCTGGAACGCCGCGTCATCGCTGATGCGCTCCCCCAACTGCATGTCCAGGTGCATGGTCTGGAGAGCCAAGGGCGGAAGTCAGGGAGCTCTGACGGCCCCAATCGGGGCCCTGGACCGCGTCAGAGTTGCTTTCGGGGAGGAGGGGACCCAGTCACCCCACTGGAATGATGGAAACAGCTCAGTGGTAAAGCCCATGTCTCACGCGTGTGGGGCCCTAGGTTTGATCCCCAGCCCTCCCCCCAAATTTTTGGGGTGGGGAAGAGGGAAGGAGATTGGGAAACTGGTTCAAAAGGCAGGAACACAGATTCTGCCTGTGGGACTCTAAGTTCCACTTCTTTTTTTAGGGGAGGAGGGGGCGCACACCCTGCGATGCTCAAGGCTTACTCCTGGCTCTCCACTCAGAAATTGCTCCTGGTGGTGCACTGGGGGACTCTATGGGATGTCAGGGGATGGAACCTGAGTTGGTCACATGCAAGGCAACTACCCTCCCTGCTGAATTATCTGGCTAGCATCCTAAGTTTCATTTCCGGCACCTCAGGGTCCCCAGGCACTGCTTGGAGGGACCCCTGAGCACTTCTGGGTGTGGCTGACCACCTTCCCTTGCCAAAAAAGAAGTGATGGAAGGGTGACAACATGTCTGGAGAAAGAATGGCTTTGGGACTAGACAGATGATACTGAGGATAGGGTGCTTGCTTGGCACACATCCAATGTTCAATCTCTGGCACCCCTGAGCCCTGCCCAGAGTGATCCCTGAGTGGAGAGACAGGAGTAAGCCCCAAGCACAGCTGGGTTTAGTTTCCCACACCCCCCAAGAAAGAAAAAAAAAAGCTCTGAGACTGTGTTTGATGCTAAGTTCTGAAGTTCAGAGTTAGCCCAAGTACTTGATGTTGAATGGCTATGAACTTGACTTTACATGATACATACACACACACACACATATATGTATATATAGTGTATGTGTGTCTGTGTGTGGGGAGGGACACACCTGGTGGGGCTCAGGTCTTACTCCTGGCTGTAAACTCAAGAATTATTCCTGGTGGTGCTTGGGGGATTTTATGGGGTATCAGGGATTGAAACCAGGTTAAGCAATTTAACCCCTATATTAACACTCCTCTATATGGCAGGTTTTGATCTGGGGGGTGGCAGGAGCCAAAGGAGATGCTTCCCGGGGAATCTCTTTCTCCTTCTTCAGAAAAAGTTCTCTAATGGGCCAGAGCGATAGGACAGTGGGAAGGGTGGTTGCCTTGCACATGCCCACCTGATGGGGTTCGATCCCCTGCATCCCATAGGGTTCTCCTAGCACCAACCACCAGGAGTGATTCCTGAAGCCAGACCCAGGAAAAACCCTGAGCATTACAGTGTATGGCTCCCAACCAAAACCAAATAAACAGTAACAAACAAAAAATCATAAAAAAGAAAGGGTTCTCTAAGCTCAAAGCAAGTTCCAGCTTCCCAAAGACCCTCTCCTGCTCACAGCATTTCCACTCAGGAAATGCAGCCCTCCCTCGCCCCCCCCCCACACTCACATCACGCATTCACACAGACATGCACACATTTTCACATAATATTCTCACACGTACACATACTCTCACACAGACTTACATACTCTTATACATACAACAAACACTCACAACACTCAGACCCTCATACACTCACACAGACTCACAAACTCACAACACACACTCTTACAACACACACTCACAAGACTCACTCATACACACTCACACACACACACACACACACTCACCAGCTTGCCATCGTAGACAAGAGGGAACCGGACGGACTTGAGATGAAGGCAGATCTGGTGCTCTCCAGGGGACTTGGAGGTGAACATGAAGCGACCCTGAGGGCCATACTGCCGGGACAGAAGGTTCTAGAAACAGCAATTAAATGAACAGAGGAGAAGCTGGCCAGAAATCCAGAGAGATAGTACAGCAGGGAGAGCATTTGTGTGCAGCAGACATGGATTCAATTTCTAGCATCCCACTAGGGTCCCCCAAGCCCAACCAGTTGTGATTCCTGAGCACAGAGTCAAGAGTAAACCCTGAGCATCACCTGGTGTGGCTCCCCCCCCAAAAAAGACCCCTCCCTACCCCCCAGATCAGGCCAGAGGAATAAGGGGGATGTCAGGGTGCTAGGGGCGAGGCTCAGAATCCAGCCTTGCCAACGTTGTGCAGTTTGCAAACAGCAAACACATTTGCAAAGACATTTCCCAAGGGCCTGCCGTGAAGGCAGAATGCACCTGGGAGTGGGGGAGGGGTGGGGCGGGGGGGGCGGTTAGGCACTGGTGTTGGGGCGCTGAGGGATGGGAGGGATGCCGGGTGTCAAAACCTGCCTCACCCTGTTCTCCGGGTCCTTCACGAACGCGAACAAATTAATCCACTGCGGCGAGGGCTGGAACTTCCCCACCACCGGGTCGTAGAGCTCGGTCTTGTAGTTCCCTAACGGAATGCAGAGAGAATGCGTCCTCCAGGACCCGCCGAGGCCCGGGACCAGACCAAGGGGTCCACTCCCCAGGGACTGGGGCGTCCGTGGACGCTAAACATAGCGCTCCCCGTATCTCTCCAACTCCGCAATTTCCGCCTCTGCGTCACAACTGCCATCCATCGCGGGGTGGGGTGGGGAGAGGGCTCTGTCTCTTCATTGTCCCCTGAGTCCCCCCCACTCCATCATCAGGGAGGTGCGGGCTCGAGCTGATCCCGCGACTACCCACCTCCACCCCCACCCCACCATCCCCGCCCCAGCTCCGATCTGGGCTCGGAGCGTGCAAAAAGCAAAGAGCACGAGCGCGCGCTCACCTATGACCACGGTGCCCTCGGGAATCTCCTGGATGAAGCATTTCTCCTCCAGCTCGCCGACCTCGAGGTAGACTGCAGCGCCCCGGCACGTCAGCGCCAGCAGCTGCCACAGCAGCAGCAGCAGAGGCACGGCTCGTCGGGCCCGCTCAGGGCCGGCCCCGCGCCCCGCGCCCCGCGCCCCGCCGGCCCCCGCCACCTTCCCCGGCTCCCGCTGCAGTCCGCCGAGATCGAGACCTGCGCGCGGACTACAAGACCCAGGAGTCCCCGCGCGCGTGCCGCCCCGGGGCGTTCCCGCGGCTTCTCTGACCCAGCGGGGCTTGCAGATACCTGCTCTGGGATCCATCCTGGGGATTCCAGCCTTCTGGATCCTTCTTACTGCTCTCGCGTAACAGCCTCAGAGAGGGGAGGGGCTTACCAGCTGCAGCTTGCAGAACAGAGCACCCCACCCCCAAGAGGGTGGGAGGACTATTTATTATTATTATTATTACTAGGTTTTGGAGCCACATCCCGAGATGCTCCTGGCTCTGCACTGAGGAATCACTTCTGGCAGTGCTCCAGAGATGGGATGCTGGAGATTGAATCCGGGTTAGTTACATGCAAGGCAAATGCCTTGCCTGCTGTACTATCCGGCCCCTTTTATTCTTTTATTTATTATTAAAAGGTAAAGGTAAAGGCCCTCCCGTTGATCGTCGATTTGCTCGAGCGGGCCCAGTAACGTCTCCACTGGAGACTTTGTTGTTACTGTGTCTGGCATATCGAATACTCTCAGTAGCTTGCCGGGCTCTCCGAGAGGGGCGAGGAATCGTTCGCCTTATGCTTTGTATATGGGAACACTATTTTTTTTTTTTTTGCCTTTTGGGTCACACCCGGCTCTGCACTGCAGGGGTTACTCCTGGCTCTGCACTCAGGAATTACTCCTGGCGGTGCTCAGGGGACCATATGGGATGCTGGGAATCAAACCCGGATTGGCCATGTGCAAGGCAAATGCCCTACCCGCTGTGCTATCACTCCAGCCCTGGGAACACTAGTTTTCATCTCTGACATCACCAGCTCTCTCAATGCCTCTGGGAATAATCCCCGGAATGACCACCAAGCAACAAACTGGCATCAGCAACACTTTATTCCCTCTCCTGTCAAAGAATCCCAAAGCTCACAGTGCTGGGCCGGGTTGATAGTACAGCTGTAGGGCATTTTGCCTTGCATGCAGCCAACCTGGGTTTGATCCCATAGGGTTCCCTGAGCACCACCAGGAGTAATTTCTGAGTGCAGAGCCAGCCTCTCACCAAAAAAAGAAAAAAAAAAGGATTCAGTATGTTTCAACTCCTAAACTGTCCATTTATTTTGGTGATGGGACCCACTGATATTCTTAGGGGAATTTAAAAAAAAAATCTTCATTGAGGTACCTGAATGACAGGACAGTGGTTAGGGTGCTTACTTTGCAAAAATAAGCAAAAAATGCAAATATTAACAGAACCTCTTAGGAAAGGTTAGTTAAAAGCATGTATTGCCTTTGTAGCTTTTTTTTTTTTTCTCTTCTTCTACATCCAGCGATCCTCAAGGGCTACTCCTGGCTTTATACTCAGGAATCACTCAGGGACTCAGGAAATGCTCAGGGATCGGGATGCTGAGGAACAAACCTGGGTTGGCTACGTGCACTCTCACCCCACTTTTTTTTGGTTTCAAGATTGCTCATGCTCAAGGCCTCCTGGCTCTGAGCTCAGGGATCACTTCTGATGGCCTCGGTGGGGGGACCATATGGGGGTGCCAGGAATGAAACCTGGGTCAACTATATGCAAGGCAACCCCCCTCCTGGTGGTACTATCGCTGTAGCTCCAACATCTATTGAGTTTGAAGCCAGGTCCTTCAGCAATGTCTAGAGGGAGGCCAAGAGCGGTGCTGTCCGTGGTGCTGAATTGGGGTAGGCAGAACCACTACACTGCACTTTGTAAAGGACTACTTTGCTGGGTTGGTTTGGCTTTTATTTTATTTTATTTTTGCTGAATTGGGGTAGGCAGAACCACGACATTTCACTTTGTAAAGGACTACTTTGCTGGGGTTGGTTTGGCTTTTATTTATTTTATCTTATTTTTGCTTTTTGGGTCTCACCCAGCGATGCACAGAGGTTATTTCTGGCTCTGAACTCAGGAATCACCCCTGGCGTGCTCAGGGGACCATATTGGATGCTGGGAATCAAACCTGGGTTGGCCGCATGCAAGGCAAACGCCCTACCCGCTGTGCTATTGCTCCAGCCCCTGGTTTGGCTTTAGAATTCTGTTGTACAAGAAAATTTCAATTCTAGGCTAGAATTCTAGTAGGTAGGGCATTTGCCTTGAACATGGTTAATCCAAGCACTACCAAAAGTGATCTCTGAGGGCAAAATTAAAGAGTAAGCCCTGAGGAGCCGGAGCAACAGTACAGCAGGTAGGGCGTTTGCCTTGCCTTGCATGCGGCTGACCCGGGTTTGATCCCCGGCATCCCATATGGTACCCGAGCACCACCAGGAGTAATTCCTGAGTGCAGAGCCAGGAGTAACCCCTGAGCATTGCTAGGTGTGACCCAAAGAGAAAAAAAATGTAAGTCCAGAGCACCGCTGGGTATAGACCCCAAACAAACAAAAACAACAATAAAATTTCCAGCTCCTGGGGCTGAGCGATAGTACTATGGATAGGACATCTGCCTTGCACGCAGTTGACCCGGGTTTGATCCCTGGCACCCCATATGGTCCCCAAGCACCACTAGGAGTGATTCCTGAAGGCAGGGCTAGGAATAAACCCTTTGCACCACTTGGCGTAGCCCCAAATCCCCGCAAGCAAATATTCCAGTTCCTTAATAATGAATACTTTTAGTTTTGGTTTGGGGAGCACACAGCAGTGCCCAGGGGTTACTCCTGGCTCTGTGCTCAGGAATCAATCTTGGCAGAGCTCGGGGACTGTATGGGATGCGGGAAATCCAACCCAGGTCGGCTGTGTGAAAGGCAAGCACTTCCCACGCTTTATTGCTCTTCAGCACTGCCTGGTCCCTGCTGTGGCCCTCCACCCCCAGATCCAAAACCAAATCCCCAAATGAAAGGAAAGGGATAAAAATCAGACCTCCCAGGGCACACGATGGAAAGTCTAACATTTAGAATCCTGAGTCATCTTGGGGTCCCCCCATACCATGCACCTTGGAACTCTTGACCAGGAGAAATGGACCTGTGGGTGGGGTGATGGTCCCAGGAGACCCTCCTGCTGTGATTTCGGTTTTAGGGCGGGTCTCCACGAGTCACTGGATCTTTTCCCTTTTTTTTGTGGGACGGCACTCGGTACTCACATGGGTCCGTCCTGGTCTGTGAGCCTTTACCTCTCTGATGGTGCTCGAGTGCCATCTGGAGGCCACCTTTATATCGCTCTGGCTCCCGCTCGCCTCTGGGCGAGGGTGAAGATGAGACTATACCGTTCTGGGTAGAGCTCCAGGATGCTGGAGTCAAGTTGGAGATTTGGATTCGCTCTCGGGTGGCGTCGCCACACAGTTTGACAGCTGGAGATTGTATCGGGAGGCGGGTTTGTTGCAGAGCTACAGACTCGGTCAAAATCAGTCAGGGATTCCCCTGATCCAAGCCTCAATCTCCTCCCTCCCTCCGGACCCTCTTCCCTCCGTCCCCCTATTCCTCTTCATCTGGCTCACTTCCCCCACATTCCTCTTTTTCCCAATTTCCTTCTCCCTTCCTCTTTCTGGTTTCCTTCTGCCTTCTGCTTTCTGGTTTCAAAGTAGCAGTTCAATTCAATTTCTTTCTTGCCCCTTTTTTTGGGGGTGGGGGTCGCAGTCACACCTGGTGTTGCTCAGGGTTTACTCCTGGTTCTGAACTCGGAAATTATTTTCGGTGGTGCTCAGGGCGCCGTAGGGAATGCTGGGGACCGAACCCAGGTCGGCTGCGTGCAAGGCAAGTGAAGCCACCTACCTGTCTCCTGTTTCCTTCATTTTTTTGGCCAACACCCGACTGTGTTCAGGGCTTACTTCTGGCCCTGAGCACTGTTGGAATGTTCTCCAAAACAAACAAAAAGGTCATTTAGCACAGCGGGTAGGGCGTTCGCCTTACAAGCGGCCAAGTTGGCCGACCCGAGTTTGATTCCTCCGCCCCTCTCGGAGAGCCCGGCAAGCTACCGAGAGTATTCGATATGCCAGACACAGTAACAACAAAGTCTCCAATGGAGACGTTACTGGGCCCGCTCGAGCAAATCGACGATCAACGGGAGGGCCTTTTACCTTTAATTTGTATGTCCAAACAGTGGCACTGTTTGCAAACTGTGGACATTGCATTCCGCAAGCTTTATTCACAGTATTATGATGCATGGTGTTTTTTTTTTTTTTTGAAAAAGAACAGGTTACAGAAGCAACCTGAAAATGGAATGCTCTTCATGAAGTGTGTGTGTGTGTGTTGTTGTTGTTGTTGTGGTGGTGGTGGTGGTGGAAATCAAGAGTCAGAGTGATAATACAGTGGGTAGGAAGTTTGCCTTGCATGTAGCCCACCCAGATTTATCCCCGTTATTCCATATGGTTCCCTGAGCACCACCTGGAGTAATTCCTGAGCACAGAGCCAACAGTAACCCCTGAGCATCACCAGGTGTGGCCCAACAAACAAATAAACAAACAAACAAAATCAATAAAGGGGTTGGGCAATAGCACAGTGGAGAGGGCGCTTGCTTTGTATGCTGCTGACCCGGTTTGATCCCCGGCATCCCATATGGTCCCCCAACACCACCAGGAATAATTCCTGGATGCAGGACCAGGAGTAACCCCTGAGCATTGCCGGGTGTGACCCCAAAAGAAAAATAATCTATAAATTAAGAATGCTAAATTGTCTATTTTATGATCATTTCCATATAACTGTTACATATTTAATATTAACCCCATGCTGAAAGAGCAGTAAATTAGGGACCAAAGGCATAGTACAGCGGGTTATCACCCCCATTTTATTCTGTTACGCCCATTTCTTCAAAGCGGAACAAGGTTATGGCAACTTTATGGGATGTTGCGAACCCGGTTTGGCCGTGTACAAGGCAAACGCCCTACCCTCTGTACTATTGCTCCAACCCCATTTCAATATCCTTGAAGATGAATATTTGCAATCATTTTACAAATAAAAAGAAAGGGGGGGCAGAGATAGTATAGAAAGTAATGTGCTTGCTGGACATGCAATCAACCTGGGTTGGAAGCTCCAAGCACACCCCTTCCTCCAAGAAAGAATGGAAAAAACGTGCCTCTTGGAAGTGAAGCTTTCTATAATGTGTTTTATTCAATTCAGCTGTTCATTTGTCTCAGCCTGTACAATGAGCTGTGGACTTGGAGACATGTCCATATATGACG